TTTGAAGTAATTGTTGTCATTTTCCAATAATGTGAATCAACGATTTGAGTGCGACAACTAATTAGAGAGGAAAATATTTTATGAACAAAAAATAATGATTTTACATACTCCCAGTTAGTATTTTTTTGGTTTTCTCTTTTACTTTCATATTGCTTCACATCGATTCCGAATTTACCTTATAAAACTGCATCACAAAGAACATCCATATTTGGGATATATTTGGTGCATATGGTTCTTTTAACATCACCCAGAGGTGACCTATAGGGCTAAGTCTGGGCTAGACGATTCATAATCCAAAAACTTGGATAGAATTTTCACTAAAAAATTTTTGTGTCAACTTAGACGTACGCTATCTTTCTCATAACAGACAAATTTTCCTCAGCCCATGGCAACATGACATTTTTTAGGATGTCTACAAACTTCTCCTTGTTTAAAATTAATAATAACTGAAATAATACATTTTAATATATTTTAAACCAAAAATTTTAAATATACGCTTACCATAAATCAGTAATATTCAGGGGTGTTGTGGAATCCAGGATAGGATTGCTTAGCTGTCATAATTTGAAACCAATTCCGATTTTCAATAATATCACAGAATCTGATTGGATTTTGTCTTTTCGCACAAACGCAAAACCAATATTCGAATCAGCTGTTTACTAATGTGATAAAACTTGCAAATGAATACATTTGGAAGCAATCCTATTAAAGTTTTTAATGAGTTCCGAACGGGTGATCCAAGTTGAGGTACTTTTTTTAATAGCCTTTTTTTTTTTTTTGACAGATCACGTGTGAGTCTTGTCAAGCTGTCATGTTAATTCTCTTCAGTATTGCTTATCATTTCAACATGGAGACTTACGCCGGAATAACATTTACAAATCGTTCAATTTTATGACGAAAATTCTCGTTCTATAACGAAAGTATTCGCTACGCTCAACTTATTTTCAAACTAATCGGACTAATGGGCGTAATATTTGCAACATCATAGATGAGTTCGCAGCAACGCGGACTTATATAAAGAACGACTTGGCGCATTTTACGTCGATATCTTAAATTGAAAGCGTACAAAATGCAGCTTTTGCAGGAACTAAAGTCGATCGACCTTCCCTAGCGTCATCGCTTCACTCTATTAGCTCTTGAAAAGTTCCAAGAAGATCCAACGTCCAAATTTCACAACGAGGTTCATTCGTAGCATTTGGGACGAAGGGCAACTTGAAGGAATTCAAGAGCTAACATTTCAGTCAGAAAAAACAAAGGTTTGATGTGGTTTGTGGGCTGGTGAATCAAAGGTTCATATTTCTTCAAAAATGATGCCGGCGAGAAAGCAACGGTCAATGGTAGCCGTTATCGCGCCATGAAAACCGACTATTTGATGCCTGAAATTGAAGCTCGTGATCTCGACGACATTTGGTTTCACTAAAACGGTACCACTTCCCACATGAATGGTAGTCAGAAGGGGCAAGTTCTGGGCTATAAGGCAGATTAAAAACTTCCTCTCTCCATATATGTAGTTCTTAACCTGCCTTGTAATATGAGGTCAAGCGCTGCCGTGTTGGAAAATTATTGTCTCATGTCTGGTCGCAAATTTCGGACGTTTTTTGGCAATCGCTTTTTAAATTGATTAGCTGACAACAGGTAGCGTTACCCATTAATAATTTCGTCGTCCAGTTTTAGCTCAGTATTAGAAGCTCATAATACAATAATATGTAAATTATACTACTATTTTTTGCTTGGCCTCAATTGATATGGTATTTACCTTCCTTGCTTCTGAATGTATCCGACTGCTTTAAAGCCTATGGAAATACTTGCGTGACTCCCAAATCACCTGCGAGCTCGTTTTGTATTTGACGGCAAACGAGTTTCAAGCTTTTGACCACATGGGACGTTCTTCGTCTTCCACAAGGGCGTACAAGAACTCTAGATTTCCAACGCATATTCGGAATATTAAAAAATGAAATAAATATCAAAACCCCTTGCGATTCGGAATTTGAACATGTTGCACTATTAATTTAGTATTTAATATTTCATTGAAAATGGAAGCGAGGTAATTTATCCTACTGTTCTTTACATCCTCGACCGACCGGAACCTTGTATGGCGATGGGTTCGCACATCATAAACATACCATTCCGAAAGTAAGAGAAAGCGAACAGGGAAAGCTATTAGCATACTGGTCATTCTAAGCTCAAGAAACATCTTTCCAGTATGGAGTTTCACAAGAGACTAACTCAAACGGCCGGTTTTGCGTCATGGAGCATTGGCTGTTCAATTTCAAGGAATTAGTTTTAATATTTTATTTGTTTCTGTACACAAAAATGTTTATGGGACAAAGGGACAATCTGTATATTCGAAATGTGTTTTAAGGAATTCAAGTTAAGTGTTTTAAAAAAATACATTAAGTACGAACAAAAAGTTTTCTGCTTATCAATTAGATTAAAAACATATAAAGAGGAGTACAGTAAATCACAGTGAACACAATGGTGTATGTTTAGCCTTGTTTAAAACTGACATCGCTTTTAAGCGAATATCTTCAAATACCACTGCTTCCGACTGACTCGCATCAACACTATGCCAGAACTCTGTTTGCTCCTCACAAAGGCGATCGAATACACTGGCCACTTTAGACTGAAATTCTTTCTTTTCATATCTGTCTCAATAAAAATTAATAAAATATTTATAATTTTCCAATTAAACCTTCATAATTTTAATTGATATATATACCTCTCTCTGCCAAAATCACCACGTTGAATTAGATGGTCAATTGGCGCTTTCAAGTAAAATACAGCATCTGGTCGTAAAAGTCCTTTCTCAGGAGCCATGCACCAATCGAAATCCATGCCTTAAGTATGCAATTTAACACATTATATTCCAATAACTTTAATAAACGTATGAGCATTTCATTATTTCACCTTTCGCAACACTGTATGCCACACCGGAATATGAATATCTATCGACAACCAATGTAGTACCCGCATTTAGTAAATTCTGCATTTCCTTTAGAAACTCCCATCGATTGGCAGAAAACAGCAGATGAATTACTTGATCATTCAATTCTTTGGAATTTTTTAAGTATGAATTTATTGTGCTACCAATTTCCGTAGTGCGAGTAGGAAAATGCATGTGCTTTGCTTGGTAGCCATTACTGGTTAGAAATTCGTCTAAATATATCAATTAACTATGTTATTTGCCAAGTTATTATTTATTTACAACTTACACAACAACCGACTTTGTGACGATTTTCCACTTCGATCACATCCTTCCAAAACGATGAAAGCACCACGTTTAGCAGTTCTCATACTTAATAATTAGTTGAACATAAAATCGAACAATTTAAAAATTATAAGAATCAGTTAATTTTCCAAGTATCATAGAATACATCCTATAAAAGGTGGTTTATAACTTCTCTGCTCTTGAACGCTACATTTAGCGGGAAATAATAACAAACACTTTAACAGCTGTTATGAGGAAAGATGCCATATTTAGAAAACATTTAAGCACACGTGGATTTTACAAATATTGCTTAAATCTTGATTTATAATAATATACAAAGTTTTTTTTTATAAAATATACAAAGTAAAAGAGAATTGGAAAAGCATTACATAAACATTTATTTCCTTTGATAAAACTTACTTCATGATATAGTGCTTCGTTCAAATCAATTAAATACTTTAGACAGAGAACGTTTATCTCTGTTTTAGACATATTTTAAACAAGAAACTTCAATAAGATATATATATATATATATAAAGATTTTGGAAAATTACTTAACATACTAATCACAAGAAATATTGTGAGGCAATACAATAACTGGAGGATAACTGTTAATATCTTTGCGAATAGATAGATACCATAATTTATTTTACTGCAAAAGACTATAATTATACGAAATATCTTTGAATCATCCTGTACATAAACTAATTGCAACCTTGTGCCATCATATCTGGATAAAAATGTATTGTTGAACGCAACACTGAAGTTGAATTTATGAATTGTGTGCTTTTTTCGCGGAAGAATAGTTGGAAACATTAAGAAAATTTTAATAGACTGCTTAAAAATTTGTAAGTGTTTAAATATTTCTGATTATAAATGAATGCTACAACAGAAGAGTAGTATAGCTGCGAATGCAGTATAAAAAAATAGACGACAGATTTTATAGAAGAAATGCTTTGAGTGAAAAACTGTTTTGGTTAAGAAAATGTGGAGTAAAAAATCGTGTAAAAATCTGACAAAGCGGGTGCAGCAAACATATCTGAAAAAGTAACGCAGCGAGAGCCTCTGCAGGCGGCACAAGCGAAATTCGCTCAATGGCGAAAATGTTTGAAGTGCACAAACAAATCTTCTTGCCGTGATGAAGATACATTAAAATAGGCAATCATGTGGTTGAAAGAGTGAGAAATGTGTGCAATGACTTTGTGACGAATTTGGTTTGCAGGTGTAAATGAGATGCACAACACTTTCAAGCGATGTAAACAAGAATTTGTGCAAAAAGAGGAACTATGCGAAAACAAATTAACACGAGATATTGAGTGATTATTAGAATTGTGTTAAATAGATACCGAAGACTATGGGAAAATATATGTTATTTGTATTTAAGCTTATTACAAATTAATAGGCTAATTTAATTGAAATATACATATACCTAAAATTATGGAATATTTGTGAAAAAACAATATATATGTGCTATGACGCTTCCTTCATTACCTTTACCTTTTGTGTCAAAGTTTTTATGAAAATAAATATAAAACTAATTGTTATTTGATTACGAACATCTTGCTATTTGGAATAAACAAAAGGCAATAATCTTTGACATTTCGAGGGCGCTCTGTCATATATACAGCTGCTAGCTGTCATCATTCTTCTTACATATGTTTTTTCTATTTTCGCCTTGTATTAAGGCAGAAGATCAAAAGCGGAATATCAAGGGAAAATATAAAAGTGGAAAAGTTGCCGGAGTAGAAGCACAAAAGGAAAAGAATTGTGTATAGGTGAGATTAGTGTGGCGTATGGACAAACTTTTATTTCGCCTCCAATTACAATTTCTATAGTCAAATAAATAGTATTACTATAGTAAAATGAAGCAGTTTTGTGTGAATGCATAAATATGGACTAAGTGTAAAAGTTAAACGCAGGGATTTTGTTAGTATGCTGGATAAATGAAGTTGGTAAATGTATGTGTGTGTATAATTTTTCGCCTGTGGGCTGCTGGCCGCAGGATCTGTGCAAGTGTCTGCTCTATTAAATTATAGCGCTTGCTAATTAAATGTGACGAATTTTGCAACTTGCATTGTGCGATGTAAAATAACTTGTATGTAGTGCTTGACTGTTGTGATACTATACCACTTAAAATGTATCTCACGCCTATTTTATATCCTGCGTTAGCTATAGTTATGTTGATGTCATAATAAAAAGGTGTTTTAATAACTGTAGAATACGGTCGTCGTAATCTTTTAAAAACTCAAATAAATATTGGACAAAAATCATATGACAAAAAAATAGATATGCAAATAATTTTACGAATTTGTAACACATTGATCGTTGTTTTTATTTAAAAAAAGGTGCAGTCCTCAATGCTTGATAACTAAAATATCCGCGCTATTAGTGGAAACCCTATAAACTTGAACAACAGCAACGAATAAGGTGAGATGTCTAATAATAATCCCCATGGACACATAAGTCAACCGACGCAAAATCCTTCATGGAATCATTTGCAAGTAAGTTCGAAAACTGAATATTTTAACATTCATATGATTACTAACTAGATCTAAAAATGAATTGTGCGTCCTGTTATAACGCTCGTTTTATTTACAATATAGAAATGCCTATCGCTAAATAAAGACACACATGTGTACATAATTATCATTGTAATGTTTTATTATACTTAAATACAGATACCATCGTATATACCGAGGCAACCACAGTTGGCGCATATGTCCAACGAACGTCCCATGGTGCGTTCACCATCGGCTTGGCATGCGCCGGCACCGCCACCGGATTCCCTATATAATTTCATGTCGGCCAATCATAAAAACGTAAATGCACCTACTATGCTAGAAAACCAAATCAGTGCTTCAGTAATATATTTCGTCTTAATTTTATATGCGGAATATGCAAATATAATAAAAATGATTAGATGTAGTAATTTTTTGATTTTCACTCATACCTTTCTCACCTGATTTAGAGAATGATTTATTTATTTTTTCTATAAGTTGGACTTAGTTGCATTTCAAGTATTTCTCTCTAATTTTGTCCGTTTCTAAATAAAGCTTTATACTGCTTTCAATTTTTTTAAATTAGTAAATTATAATTTTTGTTCATTTAACTTCACTTAACTGGATTTCTTCAGTAAGTAGCTTAAGGCAGTAGTATTAAAGAAATGCAATATGATAATTTTTTTCTAAATACCTTCTAGATAGCAGAATTCTTTTGTATTTGGTATCCCTTTCTTTTGAAATAAATTAACTATGCAAATTTTTACCGTATGCAATGGCGTTAATAATTGTTCTGAGAATAATTCAAGAAACTGTGCCCTCGGCTCCCTTTTTAGAACTTAATATAGAATAAAAGTAGTTTGTTTTTTACATAAATACTAACAACTAATATATCAAATAATTGTAAATTGCTCACTAATATGCTCATTTGTATGCCAAAAAAATTTTTGTAGACTATATTCCTCTTACCAAATTACAACTTCAGCTACTTACCGTTTTTAATGAAATAATGATATGTTGTGAAGTTTTATAAAAACCGACTGTCTTATGCTAATTTTATACTTTAATAGCTTGAACATCAGATGAATTCTCTCCTGCCTCGTTCGCTTTTACCGCCATTCGATTCAATGGACTTATCGCTGCAATCAAGTCGTAGTTCAAGCTCACCACTAAACAAAATCGTTGGTGGTCATGCGCCTGGTATGCTATCACATGAGTATGGTGGTCATAAGCATGCGGCCACGCCACAGCCGCCAGGACCACCGCCTCCACATCAACATCAGCAACATTCGCACCAGCCACAAGCGCATCAGCATCAACAACAACAACAGCAGCAGCAATCACAACATCATGGACCGAATAGTTACCCAATGTAAGTAAATAAAGAGTGAAATGTTGATAAAAACTTTAAATTTGTTGAATTGATTTAGTAATAATTTATCGTCGAATTCACCTTCCAGCTTAGCACAACAGCAGCAGCAGCAACAACAACAGCAGTCACAGCACACACACCACTCTCAGCTATCTGCATTGCAATCTTCGCCAGCCACGCATGGCATGCAAAGCGGCGCTACACCGCAATCGCCTGCCTCACCAGCTGGCAGTCAAGGTCCCGGCAAATATATGAATACGAATGGAAATGATTGTGAAGGTATGCTACCACCTGGTGGTTCAAATCCTGGCGGTTCGTCGTCGGTAGGTGGCAATAATAACGGCGCGAGTGCGAGCAGCGGTACCGCAGGTGGAGGGGGCGGCGGTCCAAGCCCTGTGCATACTTATATGCGCGAGCCCAACGATGCGCCCAGCCATATGAGTGAGAGCTATGGCAAAGTACCACATTTGGCGCGTAATTATGAATCTGAGGTAGTTTATTTACAACATTTAAAAATTTACAACGGCTCAAATTTTTTTTTTTGCTACTTAGTTACAGTCTAAAGGTGCCGGATCGAAGCCAGTTGAGTTGGTCAGCAAAGATTGTAATTACACTTCGCTTATATCAAATAAAATGCAGTCGCATGCGCAGCAGCATCAGCAACAGTCACAAGTTTCTCCCAAGAAACGTAAGCAAAATGTTCATTTTTACAAAAAAAATATGTTTGAATTTATCATTTTTATCTCTTTAGAATCGCCAATACGCAATTATCATGCGCAACAACAACATCAGCATCATCATCAGCAGCAGCAACATCAGCAGCAGCCGCCGGCTTTCAATAATCCACCACAGTCTGCCATGAAGCATAACGGTCCGCATACACCGCCTACACCGCAATCTCCCGTAATGCATCAGCAAACTGGTGGACCTTTACATGGCATGGACTACAATCAAATGCATTTGCAGCAGCAATCACAGCCGCAGAACGCTTATCCACATCCACAACAGCAACAACAACACATGTCGCAACATTTGCCACACCCACCGCCACCACATGCACTACACTATCCACCACACCCGCACGCACATCAGCTGCCACACAGTCTCTTGCCGCAACAACCTACACAACATCAGCAACAAGCAACACAATTGTCACAACAAAATCAGCAACATCATATTCCACCGCAACAACAACACCTACACCCGCAAATGCATCAAAATCAACAGCAACACCAGCACCAAGTATCGCCACGCATGCACCAGCAACAACAGTCTCTTACCGCACAGCAGCAGCAACAACAACAAAATCAATCACCACCAATGCATCGTACACTGAACACCCACATACAACACACCAACTCCACAAATTACACGCATCTCGATGATATGGCGCCTGCTGCTGCAGCCAATGCTTCGAAAGCGCCCACATACAACGTGCACCCAGCAGAATTGAAAAAATCGTCGCCACCTGCTGATAATACCGTTATAGCAGATCTCTCACCCAAACCGGTCAACAGTGGCGCGAATAATACGTATTCCAACAGCGGGAACAGTGCGTCCAAAGCGGCTTGCATACCCGACAGCGCTGAGTCGCCTTCGCCGGAAGCGATATCATCGCATTGCGAATCATTGGACTCCAACAGCAATAGTAGTGGCGGTGGAGGGGCAGGTTTTCGACAACGTCTACATAAACGCGGTGGTGATACCAAATCATCCGGTGCTGAGGCTGTAGATTTCGGTAGTGTTCTAATGCCAACACAAGGCAACTCACCACAGCCGCAGTACCAACAATTGTCAAGGAACAACATTCCACGAAGTCCAAAGTCATCACCAACGGAACAAGTGCGACGTTCACCACGCAAAGCTGACATGTATGTGTATATAGTCTTTTATTTTTTTGAATGCGGATTCACTTACAATACGCTTTTCCAACTTTATAGCAAATCTCCAGCAAGCAATTTCAACAAATCACCTCCCAGTGCAACGGTAAACTTAGGTACACCACACACACAGCCTGAAAAAATGGCAATCGCCTCCACACCATCCTCACCGACCAGCCAAACGATGGAGAATGGACGCATACCGCCAACAATTGGCACGGCTTCAACTCCACTGGACACAATGGCGGAAACATTTGCCGATTCCGAAGTGGAGACAATTGACAAAATCAGCGCCATGATCGCCAGCACTGCAAATGACAGCGCAACGCACGTGGACGCGAACAGTAATTCGAGCATAAAGAGTGTCGGTGAATGCGACAGCGGCGCGCTCAGCAGCGGCAGCCCGAAAACCAAAAAGCAACGTCAAGCGCTGAAACTGCGCAACGCCACCGAATACAATTCCAATTCGAATGGCTCAAGCAATTCATATAGCGTCATTGGAAATACCAGCGCCAGCAATAGATCTATGTCCATGAACGATAATGCCGTTGCGGTCGATGAGTTGCGTAAAGAATTGATGCAAACGGATCTACAGCAGCTTGAGGCGCCTAACGGCGACAAATCCGCAGCGCAAACCAACGAAGGCGAAGTTGCGACTGGCAATCGTATGGAGTCGCAAGCTGATGCGCGCATGAGACAGCCACGACCACTAAGTCCGCAAAGTAATAGTCACAGCAGCAGCAGCTCGTCCAGCACTTCCAGCTGCAGCAATTCCAGCCACAGCAGCATTGGCAGCAAGACCACAGCAACTACCACACATGCGGAAAGCAAAACATCGGGGAGTCAATGTCCGGTTATAGCAACAACAACGACAGCTTTGGAAGAGGACAATAAACACAAACGACAGACTTCAGACGAACGACAAGCGCCGCCGCAGACTGGCGATGCCGACCCACTAAATTTAAATGCCCATAAAAGCGACACAGTGACAGCGGCATTCGAAGAGGTAAGCCTATTGAATATTCAAAACCATAAATCTTTTACTTAATGAGTTCTTTAAAAACGTCCGCAGGTTGAAAATAAGTTGGAGGAGATGTTTGCTGGCATCGAAGATGAGCCCATCATACCGGAGACCGATGATCTTGCTTCACAGCCGCCCGCCAATACCACTGAAGTGGTGCGCGATTTAAGTTTAGCTTTAGAGTTGTCTAACGCCAACCTCAGCGCTGTCACACCTTCAGCAGATGCACCACAGGAGACGAACGATCCGATGAGCGCTACAGCGAAAGATGTGAGTACGCCACTGCACGTACGCACGGAAGGTCCACCACCGACTAAAGCCGCCAAAAAGTCGACACTACCTAGTCCTATACGCAAAACTACCACAACGGACCTACAAGCTGCCGCTGCGGAAAGTGCACAAACCACAGACAATAAAGAAGGCGGGAAAACGAGTATTGTACCGGCTGCTTCAACTACGGCAGCGGGCCGAAGAAGCGGACCGCCGCGACGCCGTCTCTCCGTCGCCATGGATCCCGCGAATTTGCGTATACTGTTGGACGACGATGATGCTGACTTTGCAGAACCACGTCCACAGCGTGGCAAACGTACAACCAGCGCCAAGCGAAACAACAATAGTTCGCAGAACAGCAGCGAACAAAAGAAGGACGGCGTCATATGTTTGGATGACGATGACGATCAGCCGAGCACATCAGCGGCTGCAGCGGCAGCATTGGCCGCAAAGACAGCCAAAGAAGCGACCACACAGGCTGTCGGCAGCAGCAGCACGCCAAATGCCAAGACGACGTCTAAGGCCGCTAAGGGCCGCAAAACGCAAGACACGCGCAAACGGCCGAGTCGCGCCGCGGATACTGGCAAGAATGGTGCCAAAAAGAAAATGACGGCAAAACAGCAACAGCAACAACGGCGTAAACAACAGCAACATTCATCGGATGATGATGCACCAGCAGCGCCATCCGCCGCAACGGAACAAATAAAAAATAAATCTCCATTCATTTTGGTGAAGCGTGACGGCAGCATAAATGTGGTGAATGCGCCCTTGAATGCCGAAGATGTCAATGAGAAGAACGCAGCCGCGCGGCAGGTAAAGAAACCATCGGGTGCTGCTGGCTACGCACACGATCGGAAAAACCTACGCGGCCTGCACTCGTCAACGCTCAGCAATAAATATGACGCGGATACGACCGACTCAACGTGGATATGTGTATTTTGCAAGCGTGGGCCGCATCGCCTGGGATTGGGTGACCTCTTCGGCCCCTACCTGGTCACAATCGATTGCGAGGAATATAAGACGGCCGTAAAAGCGCCCGACGCCATCGATATGGATGCGATTTTCGTGAGCAAACGACGGCGTCTGGATATGGTACAGACGAATCCGCGCAATCTGCCCGTGGTGCCGGCTAAAAACTGCACAGCGTCCACGGGTGCGACAGCTACTGCTACACGCACCAGTGGTGCGGTAAGTATACCAATCACCTTGCGCCAGCAAGACTTCTTTAGTAGCGACTCCCTTTTGCAGGGTAAAAAGAAAAAGAACGCTCAAGACACAAGCGCCCACGGTAACTTGAATACTGACGCTACGGTGACTATCGATCCGCTCGATTGCAGCACAGATGAGACACTGCAACAGAACTTTCTCGGCATGTCTAAAGTCTCGGAGAAGAGTTATGAAGTGTGGCTGCATGAAGACTGCATTGTCTGGGCGCCGGGCGTATACTTGGTGGGTGTGCGTGTTATGGGACTCGATGCGGCGGTCTGGACCAGCACCACCTACCACTGTGTACTGTGTAGCAAACCTGGTGCGATTGTGTGTTGTCTGCAGCGTGACTGCAAGGCAGCCGCACACGTGCCATGCGCACGCGCAGCCGGCTGGAGTTTGAATGAATCAACAATGAACGTGCACTGTCAACAGCATGCCGTACAACCGGCCATTGCACCGACAACCCTATCAGCGCTAGCACTGCAACAACAACAACCGGCAGTTTTGGAAAATTCCTGAGAATCGCAAGCAGCCGAGTGTCACCTTCCACGTTCGCGCGCGCAACAAGGTGCGCGTCGTCAACGTTGCTTAGCGAAGTCAACTGCACAGCGCAAGTCGAAATAAGGCACAACAACAAAACATAAGTGCGCTGCTCTTAGCATTAAGCGTCGTGTGGTGTGTGCGACGTGAAGTGTTCGTGAAGCTACGGACCCAGGCCGTTGCTTTGCTTATTTGCGTTTCGCTAAACATTCGTTAGTTTTAAGCGTAAACCATTTTAAGGTGTAATAATAGTAGTGTACTATATTAGAAACTTCAATTTTACAGTTAACTTTAAGCTACCGTTACACACAGAATGTACACAAGACCATCGAGAGAGAAATTTTAGCGCTCAACATTTTTTTTTTTCATATCAAAAACCTTGTTTGTTACGCATCGGTTTGTCTACCAAGTAGTTGATTTGCAGAAAAAATTACAAAAATTCGTTCGACTCTCTTATTGAAAATAATATTTGTTTTACTTAAATTGTATTTAATTCTTAGTTTTTACATAAATTATGCTCTATATATAGCACATACATTTACATAAATACATACATATATTATGACATAATCGTAAGATATTTGTATATAAATATTCTTAATTGGCATAAAACTAAGCTTATTAGTGGCGAGAGTAATTTTTATTGCTTCAAATCGTGGGCGTATAAAACATATAATGCGCTGGCAGAAGAGAAATCTATTATTTAAAGTTAAGGGTGTTATTGCACTATGATACGAATGCATGTAAATTATTTAAATATACCAAATTTCATATCCCGACCAGCCTGCAGTTACTTTATGTTTTGTTCTTCCTTTTTTGTGTGTATTTTTTGCAGCAAAAGCCGCGCGAGTCATATTGTTTTGAAACAAAAAATAATGTAACGGTTCCAAAAGGGTTTTAATCAAACCTCTTCATATATTGATAGTAAGAATAATAGTAAGCATAATAATAAATAAAATAATAATTTGCAACTATCTTAATATAATTGCCGTTTTTTCTTAAATTATTAATTAATAAATATTTTGAAAT